GGGGCAGTAGATCAAGCAGGGAGGCCCAGACATCTCTTTCCACAGCCACCTCTTCCAGCTCTTCTGGGAGAACTCCAAGGCGTTCCCAGACCAGCCAAGAGCCATAGGGTGCATTCACACCAGCCCTGCTTAGTCTGCTTTAATCAAACTTTAGTCCATTTGCCTAGAAAGCCTGGTTCATTTGGGGAGGTGTGAATGTGCAATAGAACTTTGATGCGGACCAAAAAAGCGAACTCTGGTCCGCCTAAATACCTAGGTCTCAGTTCGGTTGAAGCGAACTCGAATGCGGTTTGAATGCAGTGTGAATGCAATCGGACAGGAGACCACTCCAACATCAGGAAGTGGACCACAGCACAGGGCATTCTGTTTAAATACAACCAAAACAAACGTACATTTCTCATACCTCATACGCAGCCGTCTCAGTCGCCTTGTGTGAAAAACAACATTCTCCATGGTCTTCTGCCTCATCTTCCGCTCATGCTGAGTCCATTGTTGAAAAATGATAAAACAGAAATCCTAAAACTGCTAAAAATTTGATGCCACTCCATTTTTATTTTTATTTCCAGAAGAAGAAGAAGAAGTGTCTTCAGAGGTTTTTGTGTCGTTTCCTTCAGTAGTTCTTGGTGCAGCGCCACCACAGGCGGGGGGAGGGGGACAGTTGGCTCGACTGACTCAGTGCAGTGTGAATGCGAACCGTACCAGCTGAAAATGTAAACAAATGTTCCGAATTTTGGTCCCCAATCGAATCGAGTCCATACCATTTTATTTATAGAGCACTTAAAACAGCGACAAGCTCATTCAAAGTGCTGTACAGACAGAACAACAGGCAAACACACAAAGCAATATACAAAATGAAGTAAATCAGAATATAAACATAAAAACGATGCAGATAATAAATATGACGACTAACCAGTGTGGAGCGTACAGGTTCAAACACAGATCCTCTGGTGTTGAAAGCTACTGAATAGTAGTGGGTTTTGAAACGGGATTTGAAATACGGGAATCTCACTCACTCTGTGGAAAAAAACTACTTTTGCCCACTTGTATCCGCGATCTTGATCTTTCGGTCACCTCTCAGAATTCGTGACCAAAGGTGAGGGTAGACACAGATACTGTCCGTTAAACGAGAGCTTCGCCTTGCAGCTCAGCTCCCATTTCACTACAGTGGACCAGTACAGTATTTGCAATACTGCTAAAGCTGCACCGATCCGTCTGTTGATCTCATTCTCCATACTGTGCCCACTTGTGAATAAACCCCTGATACTTGATCTCCTCCACTTGAGGCAGAACCTCACTCACAACCCATAGAGGGCAATCCACTGTTTTCTGACTGAGCACAATGACCTCAGATGTGCAGGTGCTGATCCTCGTCCCAGCTGCTTCACGTGGACAACAAACCACTCCTCTCATCTCTCTCATGATCAATACAAAATCTTGCCCATGGAGTTAATATATCTGCATGAAAATAAGTGCAAGTTTGTATTTTCTGATTACACCAATGCCAAAGTGCACATACTGTAAAACTAAAGGGGAACTAGTACTGTTAAAAAGACTTGCGTTACTTGGATTAGAAAAGAAGTTAGTTATTTTCTGAAACTGTGGTTTTCTGCTATTCTATAGAATAGTGCATCAGTTTTCCAAAAAATTCCTCCTTCAGCTCAAGCTGCTCTCATGTCTGCGAACCACCTAATCAACGTGACAAACAGATATCCAAGACAATCACGCTGCAGTTTCCTTAGTCAATTTGATTATTGTTTTTTTGTGTGTGTACTTCTTGGTTCACTTTTTTAACAAGCAAAAGCAGCTGTTTCTATAATTTGGAAAACAGAATGTGAGGTAATTGTAACAACTTGTAAATAATGCATCATTTCTAAAATTAAGAACTTACTTGTTCCTGTTTTACTAATAAAAGGAACAAACCAACCCAAAGTTTTAATTTCCAATCAGAAGCTCGCATCCTTTGCCCACTTAACTTTTAATTATCTGTGGGGGAAATGGCTAAACTAAATTAGGAACATTCAAATCCAAGGAGTACAGGTGATTTTTCTTGTTGAAATATTTCTGTACAGCTGCCAAAAAAAGCTGAAGGTTAGTGGAAAGTGTCTGCGTGACTTCCTCCTGGCAGGCAGCAATTAGCCTACACTGATTCCATTTGTTACCTTTTTTAGCCACACACCTAGAGCTGTGAAGTGTGTCTCTCTGTCAGAATGAACTGATTAATATTGTAACAACATACAGAGAAAGACAGAACTAATTATGCTTGGTAGAAGCCTATTTTATCAAGTCGTTTTATTTCATCTAGTAGAAACAAGAAACATTTTGATATATTGCTGTGATTGACAGTTGAAAAAACCTGAATTCAAGAACTTACAAATTCTATAAAAGCTTGAAATTATAGGTAAAATGATGTATATTTAAGGATAAAATCTTTAGATTAGCTTCAACCAGGCAAACAGCTAGTAATACCTAGGGCTTATTGAGTCAATATACACTAAAATATCACTTGATTGTACAGTCTTTGCTGCTTTAGCTGTTTTAGCTCTTTTGTTTAGCTTTTTTCTGTCAAAAATTTAAAAGGGGTACACCTCTTTGGGAAACTCCCATCTCTGTATTTTCTGTAACAAATTGGACTGTTACTGATGGTTTTCCCATGCCAGGCATCGTTTGTAAATTAATCATGTTAACGCTGCAGCCCCTTGTGCATAAACACACACAATAACTCATTTCTGGAGACAAACGCATAGATCATGTTCCTCTACAAAACTGCAAGTTGTTACAAACAATATAAGTTAAACTGTGTGGCAAAGTGATTGTGGCATTGAGGGAGAGTTATGTTAGTTGTGTTTGACCCTCCTGCTGCCCTTAGGTTAAAATGATCCATGAGGCCTCGTGGGTCATTTTGAGGAATAAACTTCGCAGCCTTTCACTTCCTCTGGATGCCATTAATTTGGCCTCCAGTTCTAATGTTAAAAATCTTGGTGTTTATTTTGATCAGGATACATCTTTTATCCCCCACATTAAAAACGTTACCAGGACCACTTTCCTCCACCTGCGCAATATCGCTAAAATTAGAAACATCTTGTTCAAAAATGATGCAGAAAAACTGGTCCATGCATTTATCACATCTAGGCTGGACTATTGCAATTGTTTATTGTCTCGGGGTCCAAAAACGTCTTTAAAAAGTCTTCAGTAAATCCAAAATGCTGCTGCCAGAGTTGCAGAGATCATGTCTCCAGTTTTAGCTTCTCTCTATTGGCTCCCTGTCAAATTCAGAATTTAATTCAAAATCTTACTTCTAACCTACAAAGCTCTCAACAACCTATCTCCATCTTATATTAAAAATCTTATTGTTTCATATTTTTCTAAGAGAGCACTTCGCTCTCACACTGCAGGATTATTTGTGGTTCCTAGAGTTCTCAAAAGTAGAATGGGAGGCAAGGCGAACCAACTTCCAGTTTCTGTCCATGAGGTTGACACATTGTCTACTTTTACGATTAGGTTTAAGTCTTTCATTTTTGATAAATCCTATAGTTTGGGTCGGGTTGGGTTTTTTGAGCTATCCTTTAGTTATATCGCTATAAGCTTAGACTGTCGGATGAAAAAATTACAACATTTTCTCACTTTTCTGCTGTCTTTACTTGCTCTATTCTACCTGTTTGTATTTGGTATGATTTATGTCTTTAACATGTTTTTTTATTTTTTTGCTGCCAACTACCACATGCATTTGTTTATCTACAGAAAGAGGCATAATGACTGAAAAGAGGTCAGCAGTGGCGACCTACATGAAAGGACTTTATTAGAACAATTTTTATGTATTGTACGTATTTATGCTCAGATTTGTTGAGCAAAGTGTGCAGATTAAAACAGTATATGTTAGGTTGAAATGATTCACTTATTGGTCTAGAAGAAGTTTTGTGTCTGACCGCTGATGAGCTCTGTCTTCATAGCATTCATTCCACCGCCCGGCCTGATCCACGATATTTATTCTCGATCTTTCCTCCTATGTAAAGTACATCTGGACCTGTTAGTCTGTGTTTGTCTGTTTCTCCTTCCTGTCCTCTCAAACCGGTCGAAGCAAATGGCCGCTCGTCCTGAGCCTGGTTCTGCTGGAGGTTTCTTCCTGTTAAAATGGAGTTTTTCCTTTCCACTGTTGCCATTAAGCTTGCTAAGGATGGGAGACTGCAACAAAGTGAAGACTGAATGCTATCTGCTGGCTTTCTTAGATTGATAACTTTTACTAATTGGCCTTTTTTAATGTATGTGAATGTTTTTGTACAGCGCTCTGAGACATCTGTTGTGATTTAGCATTATAGAAATAAACTGAATTGAATGCAGACCAACACAAGGTGCTCCAGTTAAAATAATGCAATTAATAAAATCAAAAGCAAAGGTTTATTAAGGAGCAAAACTAAAATGCTGATGTGGCAGTAACTATTTGCAGAAAAAAAAACAGGGAATCTGAGGGACTACTAGGACAGAGAGTGATGAGTAGAGTGGCAGCAGCTGCGACGGATGAAACCAGGAACAGGTGTAAATGGCTGTGGAAAAGTACTGACTTGGAAAACATACAGCTAAACTCAAGAATCACAAAACAGAAAATAAACATAAAAACCAAGAAGGGGAAGGAAAAATAAACTAATAATAAAAACAAAAAAACATTGATCTGACAAAATTGCTTAAATAAAATTTAATTTTTGCATAGAATTAACTGTGGTTGCCTGTGAAACAAACAAAACAAAAACAAAAGTAGTTATTGCACACTGCCAAATATTTGACTAATAATAAAGAAAATAAAAGTAAAATTAGATTGTAAATGAGCTTTTTATTTCCCAAATGTTTATAAACACAAATCTGCTGACTCAGAGTAATGTGTGTAAGTGAAGAAATGTTCTATCTCCATAAAAGTCACTGCATGTTATTTGATTGTTCTATAACTAATTGACATTTTTATTGTTTTCTCATTCTCTCCCTTTTTGTCTGCTTCACTTTAAATTTTCCAGTTGAAGAACAGTTTGAGAAACGACCTGTGTCTGGACCAAGGCCCGGACACCGACAACGTGCCCATCATGTACCTCTGCCATGGAATGACACCTCAGGTCAGTGGCTTTTCATTTTAATCTCTTCTCTCGCTGTAACGTGATGAAACGGCAAGAAACAGTCATCACACAGACAGATGTGAGGGCAGGCTGTCAACAGTAGATAACTGAACTCCTTCACCATCTTTGATTTTTTTTTTTTTTTAAAGAGTTTAAGGAACGCAGCCATTGCAGAAAGTTGCATTAGGAGTGTGATGGATTTCTTGTTATTCTCATACAACAAAAAGTCTTTTGAGTGAGCTTTATTTTTTTTATTTTTTTTTGCTTAACACAGCTTTGATCGTGATACATTTTGGGTCAGTTGCGCCAAAGTTTCCTTATGCATTTACATATATATTTATATACATAGTCCTTTTTTATTGTATTGTATCGTGCAATTACTGATCATGATCAGCTACAACTACATTTATAATTTTTAATGCAATACTTTTTTGTCCCACGTCATGGAGCTAAAAGAAGGGATTGGAAATACCTTCAGTCTGTCTGTCTGTGCATCTGTCCATCCATCTGTGAATGTTGTGAGCACGATAACTTTAAGAATAAACAACGGGCAAACTTCCTTTTTGGTATGTGGCTGCATCTAAGCATACAATTAGGTTGCCAGGTTAAAAATCAAGATGGTCACCATCATATGTAAACATGCTACTCCTGCCTTCTAAGGGAATTATGCTTTCTGGTTTTTATATTGCTTAAAAGTGTAGTTTTCTTAAATGACTGGTGTGACCGAAGATTAATCCATAGTGGCCCAGGCCACCACTGGCCGCCCGCTGACTCCACCATTGTACCTGCTAGTGGATAAATATGTTCGCTTCACTCACCAGGATCTGTCACTCTGTGCCACCATGCAAAGAAAGACAAAAACCTGTATGTTTTTCTCTACAGTGCAACTCCTACTCACTTGAATATCTTGCATTACTAACATTAAGGTTTACTTGCATTCCCCGTTCAGTTCCAGTCCAGAAAAACACTCATCTTGAAAACTACAAACATTCACTATTCGAATCCTTCAGCGATGGGGGGTCATCAGTTTGTTCAGTTTCAGCTTCAATCCTGTTCCCAAACACATAAATCTTTGAATATTTTATGTCCTCAATACTCACTGATGCATCTCAGCAAGACAAATAGAAAACCACATTGATTTATCATCATGACCAAAAGTTTTCTTTAGATCTTTAGCTGTTTGTGGCTCATCGTGTTCACTAGCTGAGCTGTTGCCTTTTGCTGAAAGCTGTGTTGAGGTCCAATAAAACAAAATGAGGCTAAACTGCCATGTAACTAAAACTTGGGGCTCTGCCTGCTACAACATTTAAGGATTATCAGTACTGGAGATTAGAGCTGTCATTTCTAGCCAAAATAATATGCTGGATGGCCGGGTCGGTGTCAGGCTTTTGATTGCATCAGCGGATGTGCGCAGCTGACAATCCAATTTGGATCACCAGCCGCACGCGGCCGTTTGACCGCGCACTGACCGGCCGGTTGAAAGAGGTAAAAATAAATGTCAGAAGGATCACTGCCAGCGACCCACCTGAAGCTTAACTGGACTCAGCCGCTGCGTCAGCCGCTGCGTCAGCCGCTGCGTCAGCCGCTGC